GCACTTTGAAAACGGATACTTTTGAAAAAGGAGTCTTTTGAAAACGCAAAAACGCAGTGTGAACACCGAAAACGGATTCTTTTGAAAACGCTAACAACAACAACAACACAGCAAGATACTTAGACCGCGCCAATTTGAACAACTTTTCTTAACATGGCTGATTCACTCAAAGTTAGCATACTACTTGGAGGAATATTAGTGACAAGTGAGCTGTTTGAAAAGTTTATTAGCAGTGGCAAGATCTGTAAACCAGTCGGTGGCGTTTTCCTTTTTATCCAGTGCGGAGCAATGTGAACGCTTCATCGTTTTCATACCGTTATCAAATGTATCCGGAGCAGTGTGAACAGGTAAAACGGATCGATACGAAAACGGATAAAAATGAATACGGAGTAATGTGAACATAGCCTAAAAGTCTGATAGTCTGATAGAAATGGGGAGACTTTGGCCCCGTTCACATTGCTCCGGATTCAAATGAAAACGGATAAAAAAGTATCCGTTCACACTGCTCCACCTTGAAAACGGAGACTTTTGAAAACGCACTTTGAAAACGGATACTTTTGAAAAAGGAGTCTTTTGAAAACGCAAAAACGCAGTGTGAACACCGAAAACGGATTCTTTTGAAAACGCTAACAACAACAACAACACAGCAAAATACTAAGACCGTGCCAATTTGAACAACTTTTCTTAACATTGCTGATTCACTCGAAGTTAGTACACTACTTGGAGGAATATTAGTGACAAGTGAGCTGTTTGAAAAGTTTATTAGCAGTGGCAAGATCTGTAAACCAGTCGGTGGCGTTTTCCTTTTTATCCAGTGCGGAGCAATGTGAACGCTTCATCGTTTTCATACCGTTATCAAATGTATCCGGAGCAGTGTGAACAGGTAAAACGGATCGATACGAAAACGGATAAAAATGAATACGGAGTAATGTGAACATAGCCTAAAAGTCTGATAGTCTGATAGAAATGGGGAGACTTTGGCCCCGTTCACATTGCTCCGGATTCAAATGAAAACGGATAAAAAAGTATCCGTTTGTGCCTTGCGCTCACACTGCTCCACCTTGAAAACGGAGACTTTTGAAAACGCACTTTGAAAACGGATACTTTTGAAAAAGGAGTCTTTTGAAAACGCAAAAACGCAGTGTGAACACCGAAAACGGATTCTTTTGAAAACGCTAACAACAACAACAACACAGCAAAATACTAAGACCGTGCCAATTTGAACAACTTTTCTTAACATTGCTGATTCACTCGAAGTTAGTACACTACTTGGAGGAATATTATTGGCAGTGAGTTGTTTAAAAAGTTTTTTAGCAGTCGCGAGTGCTGTAAACCAGTTCGTGGCGTTTTCCTTTTTATCCAGTGCGGAGCAATGTGAACGCTTCATCGTTTTCACGCCGTTATCAAATGTATCCGGAGCAGTGTGAACAGGTAAAACGGATCGATATGAAAACGGATAAAAATGAATACGGAGCAATGTGAACATAGCCTTTAATACGTGGCAAAGAAACTTTTAAAAAAGCAAAGAAGTGACAAAAATTACCAAAACCCTGATCACCAATTAATTATAAAAGTTCTGACAACCACTATCGCAGAAGATTATACAGATCAGTCACTAATTGAAGCAATAAGTCGAGGTGGGCAGCGAATAAAACTATGTAGCGAATTTTTGAATTGTTGATAAGATATTTTAGATCAAAAACTTCAACTGACTCATTGCAAAGGATTGACACTTGCAAGATGACTAAAGCCTTATAAGCAACCAAGAAATTAATTTACTTTGTATGTGCCGTACTGTGTATCAAATAAATGTACTTTTGTATTTACTTTGTATGTACCTTGTACGAACTACTTCTGCGTTGCTAAGGCGTCGCAATGAACAGTTTTTTGATCACGTGTCAACATTAAAGGGCTGACTCAGGCTAGGGTAACACTATACCGGATTGCTATCGGAGCGAAGTAACTTTTACTCCGGAGCGATATTTAGGGTAGCAAAGTATCCCAGTCTTAAAATGGCCGAAGTGGGCAATTTTCAATTGGGGTCCATATCCTATCTTTTTCAGCGTATTAAACTGCCCCTTTTTGCGAAATTTCATGCTGGTATCACAATTTGCACAATTGTCTGACTAACAGCCCTGACTATATCGGAGCGGAGTAACTTTTACTCCGGAGCGATATTTAGGGTAGCAGTTACACTACGACGCTCTGCTCGCTCATAAGCCTGCATTCCTTTGCATTTCTGATACAAAAAATCCACCAGATTAAATTTTTTGATGATATTTTCGAATCTATGTGCTTTTGCAAATTCGTTTAGCTATGCATAAAATGACGAAAACAACCATGAAACTGAGAGATAAATGATGGGGCTCGTAGTACAGATAGCGAGATTGTGTTGCTATCTGATGTGTTAAAGTATGTTTTTCGTTCAAGGACCACTTCATTAAAATTCGAGAATAGATGAAATCCAAATACGAAAATGTTTTGACGATTTCGATTTGGCATCATCCAACAGCAAAAAAATCTCAGAAAGCGCCATTGTTCACTAACGATCGAATTGCTTCAAGCAGAAAACAGAAAATCCTTTGTTTCGAAGTGGAGCATATCGGATTCGTGCGATTACACTACAACGCTCCGCTACGGAGTGACTCCGGAGTGATTTTCGTATCACCTCCAGAACGGAGTGATTTTCATTCCGCTAATCAGAGCGTTGTGTATCGGATTGGTGTGGCGTAGTGTAACTCAAACCCGTATCCGATATATAAGTTACTCCGCTCCGATAGCAATCCGGTATAGTGTAACTGGCACCTCAAGCCTTTTGCGCAAACAATAGAGTACCGAAGTGTTTTTTCATTTAATTTTTATTCTTTATATTCCATTTAATTCTTTATACACAAATATCCCTTCAGCTTACAACTAAATACCAAATAAGAAAATAAATACCCTAGTTACATTAATACAATTTATAGATTTTTGTCCATGTTGTCATACCAATAGTCAGTACCATTTATCAAGGATGTTATAGTAGAATACAGTTTTCGAAAAGCAGATTGATTTAGGGTCAATTTTTTGTTCGCTTTGAGAAATTTAACAAGCTGATCGTGAACTATTTTTGTGACGTCTTCTAAGTGTGACGTCATCAAAAATCTATTTTTAGAATTTCTTAAAATTGGCCACATAATCTGAAAGAACGGCATAAAGTACCTCTCATTATACAAAATTAGTTAGATATGTTCCAAATTGGGCGAGATATGGCCAATGAATGATTTCAGATTTGCTAACGGATTTCTATTATTCTGGCCTGGTTCATAAAGTTGTGAACCAAGACCAAATATTACAGAAGTTTGATGGGGCAAGAGCCTATGCTCAAGTAGCCATATCTCAGCCAATTCGTAGTGCCTTAACTGATTCATGATGCTCTTTCAGGTTCCGGGATCAAAATTCAAAAATTCTAAAAATAGACTTTAGTGCCGTCATCACTTCGGTATTCTATAGTCTGAAACAATAGCCTTCCAGATCAGTTTTCGTTCTATTTGGCATCGTATTGACTATGAATCGATAAAGTATTTGCTCTTGGTAGAGACATACAAAACGAAATAGAATTTAAATCCTAATTTCATTAAGCAAATTTTTGAAGAAAAGAAACAATTCGACTTGAAATCGATACAGTCAGATTTATTGGGCAAAACTATGGAAGACACTAACAGCAAAAATGATCCAGACCCCCTTAAGCTTTTCAAAAAACTAATTAAAGATTATGTTAGATATGTTATACAAACTTAGACTTTTAATCATAATTTATATTTTGTATTCATTTTATAGCAATTTGTAAGTATTTTGTTTCAAATAGTCGGCCTTAATTAGCTTTTAAGCTACATATTTTTAAATGCCGACTTTAAATCAAAGAATCAATAATAATGGAAACTTTTCTTTTTTAATTTAATTAAAACTACAATTACAAACTTCACTATACAAAGGTAATTTGCAATTGGCTAGCCTGGGTTTACAAAGAAAAAGACTATTACAAGCACAAACAAAATAAATTAACAAAAAAAAGGAAAAGTGTGTTCGTCATTGTTTGTTTTAGAAGTTGTCAGTAGCAGAGATTGTTATAATTGAAGAAGTTCAGGATTATTCCAAGACTTATTTCTGGGGCAGAAAATGTAATAGGTAGTACGGATAGTCAAGTTGGATAGTTTGGAGATCATGAAGCGGATATGATTCTCGCTGATATCCAGAACGTTGCACACGTCGATGAAAGAGCAGCAGTAGACCAAAGATACCTAGGGAACTGATAGAAAGATTAGCAAACATGATAGAAGAAAAGGCTGAGCTTAGGCTGTGAATGAGATGCGAGTATTTCTCTCCTTTGCGGTTAGCATTAAAATCCAAGTTAATTTCGTATCCTACTGTAAGCTCAAGTATAATAATACTAATAATAAAAATAATGATAATAATGGAAACATTTCATTTTCAATTCAACTTAAACTACAATTACAAATCTCACTATTACAAGGTAATTTGCAATTGGCTAGCCTGGTTTTGCAAGAAAAAACTATAACAATCGTAAGGTAAAAGGAAAAACTGAGAAAAAAATAAAACAACCAAAATTAGCTTTGTATCTGGCTAGCCTGTTTTTACAAAATAAAACTATTGCAATCGTAGTAATGAAAAAGAAAAATGTTAAAAGGGAAGTAGCTCTGGATTAGTCCAAGTTTCGTTTCTACAGCAGAATATACTTTATTATTATTAATAATAATGATAATAGTAAAAATGATAATAGTAATAATAATAATAAATTCTCTAGAGCCTGAGTAATAAATTCTAGCACATTTCCCTAAACCTCTATTTGAATGTGATCTTTTTTGATGGAAAGGAAACGGAAAAGTTTAGAAATGAGGAACCAATGCCAACACAAGGCTCCCCCAGTATCAAGTTCTGACCCCCGTCCTCACATATAACATTTTCAAATATGGCGCCGCTGCGATTGAGCATGCGTAGAGTGTTCTCCTTCTTGACAAATGGCGGCAAGCCCCCTGTGCATAAGAATGACGGCCTGTTCGAATGAACTCATGTCCTTTGAAGACGACCATTTGAAACGATTCAACAGCCAAGACGCATGCAAGGGATGATTATGGAGGCCATATTGGCTGTTGTGGAGATCTAGATAAGGCCTTCACCTCTCACGTAAGCTTCGATGCATTTTGTTTTCTTTTTGGGCCAAGTATCTTGTTATATAGAGAATATAGGCTACAAATATGAGAATTTTAGCTGTGGCAGAGAACAACCTGCTTTCAGCTCGGGACCCTTTGTCTCCGAAGCAGGCCGTTTGCTGTCAGATCTGATGGTTGATCATCTCCGATTCGATACACCCAGCTACCATCTGTCCAGGCGGTGGGTTCCTACACTGAATTGCCTCTAACTAATATCTAATACTAAATCCTATCCCAACGATACGAACTTTTATTCTGTAACTATTCCAGGGCGGTCTAGCTCAGAGGTGATTGTGAATTTAGCGGTAGCATTCAACAGCGTCACACGTCAACTGCCGTTCATTCACCAGCTTGATGTTGGTATATTTGTTCCGCTGGCTTCACAACTAACACGATGGATACATAGTTGATGCAAAGCGTAATGTACCCTGGTAAGCACCTTGCATTGCTCCCTAACATAGCAATATTTTTTGTTATCATTATTGATTAATCAACGTCAGGTTGAAATGTTTCACTATTTTATTAATTCCAATATTTGTAATTACTGTAGGTACCTATGTCTGGATCCCCATTTATTTATATTGAATAAAATATCAGTGAGATTTTTTAGAAGGAGTCAGCAATATTTTGTAGCAAATTTATTATCTTTATGAAAGCTTACATTTTTCAGTCTATAAAACATATGTACCCTCATTAAATTTCAAAGCTTCATGGAGAAGTTTGTCCCACTCCTAATGCATTATCTACCTATGAATGAAAAAAGGAAGAAAAAGTTATTTAGACAAATTTAACTGCCAAACTGTAACCAGCTTCAACATAATGGAGGCTAATTGATTTGTCATGGAGTTCCTTTTTTTGAGTCTCAGTTATTAAATTGTTTAAAAATGTATATCTTTGCTGCTGACATGGCTCATGAGATACACATCAATGAATTTTTTGAAGTTTTCAAACTCTGTTCATATTCCCTATTCAGTTTCTAAAGACATGGATTACATTGAAAAGCTTAAAAATAATCATATTTTTTTCAAGTTATTGACTTGACAAATTGGTACTTTTTATTGGCTATATTTGGCATGGTGTACAAGTTACCAAAGTTGTTGATATGTAGGAAAAAAGGTTTTTCCTACTTTCTTTATGAGTCGGAGATCTTTTTAGCTGATTGCCAATCCAGTATTGGTTTTTTCAATCTTATTTGATGACTACCTGATCAATTCACTCATTTAATTTTGCAGGTTAAGTGGTAAAATGAGTGCACTTTTGCCACATGTACAATATTTTGAAAATGCTCTCCAAATTGAGCAGTTTCTAAGTCATACTGAACAGGTGTTTAAAGAGTCAATATCCGATTTAAGGTAAATGTGAAATTTGTTTTTTAAAAAATTGTTCTTTCTGTGTCAATGCATATTTTCAGGCCTTTAGGTTTAGGCATGGTTAAGAACTCAATGACATTCGAATGCTCAATCTATGGCATTGAAAGGGTTTGCACTGAAGATAGGCAAAACAGGCCTTTTCATTTGAAGATAGGCACCCGCGCAAACCCAACCACGCAAGCATTTGATCACTCATGCAAAATGGTAATTGTATCTTTTGTGCACCAAGCAAGTGACATGGGCAATACAAAGCTGGTATATCAAAACACAGGAAATATAAGTAAGCTGACTTAACCACATCTCAACGAAAAAATGCATTTGAAAATCAATTCCACAGCGAATGTCTAGGAATACTTTGGGTGCTTAGTATTTGAACTACAATAGCACTTAAGACATTTTCTGGGCAGTAAAGGCTGTTAAAAAGGGATGGAACAACATTTTGCAATCATCCATCAATAACATCTTTATGACCTTCATGATGTACATAAAGTTTATAAACCAAGCACACTTATAAAGGGGGTTTAGTCTTTCTTGGAGTGCATTAAGGTAATTGTAGCAATTCTTTTCATTTGATGTTACCTCAAACAAAAGGGTACCTTATAGCAAAATCAATTTTTTCACTATCAGAGTGATTACTCAGGCAAGAGAAATAAGGTGAGCAATGGGTCACTCGAGTGGGCTATTTCTCACAAAAAAGCCTGGCAAAAATATTCCACTTTCCACAAAATAAAAGGCCAGTGATTTTCATCTTGGTACTCCAACACTTAGGTGATCTTGCTGATGTTATTTGAAATCTATCCTGTATGCATTTCTACATTCAAATAGATTTGAAAGTAAGCAGTAAGCAGTGCTTTTTTGAGCACAAATAGCAGAAAATATATAAGCTAGTTAGCTTGAATTGTCCAAGTTATGAGTTACATACTAAAATGAAGATGCTCAAGTCTATGTTCCTATTCATATGTGCCTAAGTATGTGCTTAAGGCTATGGTCCCATTCAAAGTGTCTGATCCCATTGATCTACTGAACAGTTTATGAGGGCTAATATTTTATAGATGTTTAGATTACCCCATTTGCTAAATATTACTTTTACTCAGTAGCACCATCAATAATTTATCACATTTGATTCAGTTATTTGAACCAGGGTATATGGATGTTACTTACAGAATAGATACAGATCCAATAGATTCAGACTTTGGAAAAGGCAGCTTGATGGTGTAACTTATTACCAGTGCGATGACAAAAAACATTGTGGCTTTTTAACTTGAATCCATCAACAAAATCAATGATAAATTGACATATTTGACATAATCACATGATTTGTGATCCTCTTTGTTTAGCATTTCCCTACTTACAGTTTTTTTTGCCTATATTATATTATACCAAAGATGACTCTCTCTAGAGTTGAAAAGTTTATTTAATTTAATTTTTCATTCTGTTTTCTAACTGGATAAGTCTAATGTGCTGATCAGAGCTCATTAAAAATATTTTGTGCCTGCGAGCAGAGAGCTAAGTAAAAATGTGCCTGCAAGTAAAACAGGGTGCAACATATTGTGAGTCTGTGAGTTGTGAATCTTCCTTTCTACCGAGGTCCACTCAGTACCATTACGCCAACTTACATTAGGTACCAACAATTTTGGCGAAATTTATTTTCAGTAAAGCAGGGCAACTTAAAATTAATACCACCAAATTTTTGCGAACCAAAATTTTTAAACACTTTCAAAATCTTGTCTTTCACCAATGGAATTTAAAACTAATAAAACCATTTTTCTGGATATAATTTTAGTTTTCCAGTCTGTGGTTTTCCTTCGTCATCAACATTCAAAACATCCAGCTTATCTTCTCTTTTTCCCTTTCACCGTCTACATCCAAGAAATTAAAGGCCATGGGCTGCACTGATGCTTCTGCAGTCTCTTCATAATTTCTCTCATTTATTTCTTTCAAATGTTCCCACTGTTTCAATTTGGACGCCTCAATTTTCAAATCATGGTTGATCAGAATTTCTAATTGCCTCGTTGCTATAAAAAATTTTGCAAACTGTAAACTCTTGCAGTTAATACTCATGCATGTGTTGTAAAAATGAGATAAAAAAGACCTGTAAAAGAGAGTTTATGACGTTGTGGCCTACTCTTCAGTTCCATTCATTGGGCTGACATCAAAATGTTTGACTTTTCTAACTTTTGTGATTGGTTTCCAGATAATCTTATGTCATGAAATAAAAAAAATTACTGAATAAGACATAGACAATTTAGATGCTATTTCACCTAACTTCAAGCAATTGTGAATTTATCTGTTTCTATAGTTTGAATTTTTTGTCAACACAAAAAAGAAAAACAATGAAATCTCTAGTCTTCATCAGGTACACTTATTTCAAAGCTTTGTCTTGTTAAAATTTTATGAAGATAAAAGTTTTGAAAAACACAAAAAATTGCACAGTAAAATTGTAAACAAAAAGCAACACATTTGACATTACCTTAGCAAATGCAGCAGCACACCTAACAACTGTTATGCATCAACATCCTCACACACTGACCAAAATGTTTCATGTAAGGACTGGGAAATACAGTATGGGATAAAAATATTTGTAAAAAGGTCTGCTTTGGTGTATAGAACAGGATTGTTCAAAGCTGTAACTCTGAATTTCAGGCTTAACGTGGTGGCCAGGCATGTGAAAAAAGTATGTTGCCTAAAACTTCATGCATTTCTGGATAAGATGGAAAGATTTCAATCCTCCACTGTAAATTTTTATGTTGTGAAAGATTTTTTTGATCACAAATTGCGTAGAATTCCAAAATAACCCTTTCTGAAAAGTGAAGTTAATGAAGATAATGTGTGTCTTTGATATATATATCTCTTAATACTGAGAGGCAAATCCAATCCACAGATTCAAAAATGGACTCATTGAGCACATGAAAGCAAAGTACAATGAGAATATGGCTTGATTTTCAATGGACTTAGTCAATTTTTATCATTCTTTGCTATTTGTTGGTCAGAGAAAGGCTGCTCTTTGTTTTCATTTGCTAACACTATTTTTGTTTGACTTTTTCTTTAACTCTCCTGAACATAACTCTCCTTAGCCTCTTCACATTTGTTAGTCGCACAGTACCAAACCATAATTTGATCGTTTTTTGAAATTGTTATATTTGGATTAGAGATGAATGGGAAGATATCACTGGAAGAGTTGGGGATAAATACCCCAAAAAGAAAATGAAAGTTAAAACATATCTTAAAAAAATGCATCTGAACTTCAAAAGAAATCAAATTTCAATCTACCAACAATTCCTTCTATGGCGAAATGTTTCAACAGAAAACCTTTATTCTTGTGTGTTATCCAATGAATTCGATTTGCACACACCCACTGTTATTTCACGAATTTTTAGAGGGGCATGTTAATTTTTGAGCATGAAAGCTCTATAATGTAACAGCTCGTCATCTTTGCTTTTGTCTTGCAGTGTGAAAGCACATGTAAGTCTGTTTTATTCCAACAGTGATGATGATCCAGAGACTGATGATGAGGATAATGATGATATCAAATTTGAAAAAGAATCCAAGACTGAAAATGGATTTAAATCTGCAAAATACAGAGACAGCTTTGGAAGTGAAGGTGACCTTTTCAGCTCTATATGTTTACTTTCAATAACACAATGTTAAGAAGGTGATTTGCAGGCTCTTGTTGGAGCAATATTGCAGGCATGCTAACCACCACACTTTATCAAACATGTAAATCTTTAAGCCTAATGTAAACGGACCTGGAATTTGGCAAAATTTTCAGTGCCATTGGAAAGTTGCCGCTGCAACTGCAGCTGCTCCACTTTTGCATGGGTGGTTGACAATTTTGGCCCAATATCAGGGATTTCAATGGGTCGCGCGCGATAGCAGGCGAGCGTTCATTCTAGAGCCGTTCCCATTGCTCCGGCCCGCAACGTTTTGGCAAAACAAAAACGAAGGTTTTCCCATTACTCTGTTTTGTCCGTTTTTATATCCTTGGTTCGAGCTCATCTTGAAACAGAAGATGAACGAATTCCTTTATAATTGACTCCGTTTTTGATTTTCTAATTAAAACAATTCGTTTTTGAATGACTCCATTCTCCAAAAACTTCCTTTTTCCTGTTCTCATTTAAACGATTCGTTTTCAAACAACTCTGTTTTCGGTTGATAACTTAGAGCATCATTATCAAATGCCTCTGTTTTTGAATCCAAAATGGGAGCCCAAAATCAAAAACAATTTATTCAGCTCCGTTTTTCTACGAAAGCGGAGTAATAAAAAACATGGCGAATACTTCACGATAACTTGTGAGTGTTAACAAATAAATTTGATTCGTGCGCCCCACTCTTATCACGCAAGTTTTTGGCCGCGCACGTTGATTTTCAAACGTGAAAGCCCTGCAATATTTCACGACAAGATCAAGTGAGTTGGTAAAGTGGAAAATATATATATTCTAAAATACAAAGTACATGTTACAAAGTATATTTTCAAAGTACATGCTTGGAAAAACCTTCTATAGGCTTGTTTAGGTGATCCCCAACCACTCTGCATTCTGTGTACTCAAATTATAATCTGTGTACTCAATTAAAACATTATTATTGATTAGTGATCGGAAATGAAAGTCTTGTTAACAACACCTAATGTTTCTCTTAAAATTCAGGGCAAAATAGTCTGTTATAGTCTTCTTATTTTGGTAGGTTTACTAAATGTCATAAAGCCTTTAAAGGGGTAAACTTTTGCAAACATCTTTTCTCCATTTACACCATCATAAAATGTGCATGTTTGCCAATGATGTTTTGCCGATGGCAATAATGATTCGCCCAAAAAAGTGACAAATATATACTATGAATTAGTAAACCAAAATATCGGTGAAGTTTTCTAGAAAAGTTTGTTCGTTGCCCCCCCCCCAAAATTTTTGAGGGCAATGGTCTTTTGTTATAAAACAATGAGAATATGTGATGTCATCTTATCAAAACAATAGTCTTGCCCCCCCATATTGGACCAAATGTCCGCCCCTTGTGCAAAAACCTACAAAACCAATCATATAGAATTTTGCCCTCAACATAAAAGATGGAAGTGTGATATTTTGAACTCCATAAAAGCCATGGCACGCTTCCTACCAAAGCCTGATATGTCATTATACCCAAGCTGCAAACCAGTTCATAATCATCTGAAAACTTGAGGTTAGAAATTCACTTTTGAATGTGTTGATTTCACATGGAACATCAAATTTGTTTATATTGATATAAATTGTGCTCACTACATTGATGGTATCTTTTATACTAGAGTGGAGAGCTGAGAAAAGTAAGATGTACAATTTTGGAATTGTTTCAGATGACAGAAAATGGATCAAGGTATAGTTTCACTTATCTTAAAAAACACTTATTGTCTGTTACAATCTTTTCTTCATGTTATCTTAGTCTAACAGAGTGGCAAAGTGACATCATCAAGAATTCTATTTAGAATCTAAGAATTGCAACCCCATACCCTTGAAGAACACCACAAAGTACCACTTAATTTGCATAATTATTATCCTGCTTAACATTAACTGATATATCACAAGTTAAAGACACAAGCTTACAGATTGCATTGTTTTGGTCTGAATCTTCAGATTTTAAAGGCCAGGGCGAATTTACTGTGGTTTGATGGGGAAAGCGCCTGTGCTTATGTGGCAATATCTTAGTTTATTTGCCACAGATTCCTTAGCAGAGGTATTTTGTGATGTTCTTTCAGGAAAGGCAATCCCAAATTTTTAAAAATATTTTTGGTGACCCTGCTGTGTCATTCTCTTATCCTCAATAAATGCTTATAAGTTGAAAATATACTTTGGCTTAGGAATTGTAACCATAAAAACAAAAAAAGACTCGTGCAAACTTGCTGGAGGAATCAAGCAATTCTGAATGCAAGTTGGATGACCTTGTAAAGGCAAAGTCACATGACCACCTTGAAATTGCCAAAGAAATCCATTTTATTTTTGATGATGAAATTTATGTACACTATGTCACACTAAATCACACTATGTATCAAACTAAAGTTGAGAATTATCTAAAGGTAACCAAATCAATGTAGAATTTCACGATGCCATCAAGTTTACCTGACCTTCATTTTCAACAGCAAAACAGGATGAGAGGTTAACATGATAGTTAAGATTTGTTATAAATGAGTAATTTTATTGCTGGCTTGAAAATTTGTATTTTATATGATTTTTATAGCTGTGTTTTTACTAATTTCCATAAGTTAGCTTTTAACATTGTGAATATATTTTAAGGCTTCAAACCTATTGCTTTGTGTTCTATAGAAACGTTTTTTGGCCATTGCAATTGTCTTTGATCTACCACCTTTTTGTAGATTTTTATAGTTTCTTCTGTGGAAACGTTTTTCGCACACTTTTAAGATGTACTCCAACATGGTAGTTTTCCTACATGGTTTAACTAGATAATGTTGCAAATTGTTCATCATTAGGGCTTTAACTTCAAGATATCAGTTTAGGCTACCCAAAGATCACTCCATTGTTGTTCTAAAGGTGATATTTTGAGGCCTAGTGATTCTCAGTCTTTGTATGCTTTTTAAGGAAATTCTTCTAAGTGACAATTCAGATGATTCGGATGCAGATGTAGTTACAGAGGATGATGTGAAAGAGATGCTTAAAGACCATGTCAGGAGAAAGAGGATTCACCAGAAATTCGTTCGTTTGTCAGAAGAGGTTCGCATTGTTCTTTGCTTTTTTTATTTAGCGGATACGTTTGTGAAAGTGTCTTTGTATTCAGGTCCTTAAAAGTTTTCATTTGGCTTTTGTTCAACATTGATTGGCCTTTTTTCAGATACAAGATGAATATCATTACTATGGCTCAAGTTTAGTATTAGACCGAGATAGGTTTGGTGAAATTCAAAGGAGAAAGAAAAAAGATTTGAAAAGCAACAGGAAAAAGATTGCTCCAGGTTGGTTTATTGTGTATTCTGATTGATTCCTTGAAGTTAAATTTGACGTGTTCAGAATTTCAGAAGGTGTGATTAATTTTCAATTTTTAAGGTTATAATCCTGGGCGCAATGCCGTGAATGCTATTGTTTTTTAACTGTGTCTTTCGTACTTTTATAGATATGTCAATGTTAAAGAGAAAGCGGCTTGTTGAGGTACTATAATTCTTGATCATGGTTTTGTCTATTTGAATTGTGAAGCCAATTGTAGTAGCCAATTGTCATTTCACTTTATCTTAGTGATTTTTGTTTCATGGCTATTTTCTTTGAATGTGACATTGTTCTATGCATCCCTTATTCATCATTTAGTAGAGGTGCTAGTCTTCAAATTGACGTACCTTAACTGGCGCTCTTTTACTTAGGTTGACGAAAGAAGAAGGAGATTAATGGAAGAGAAAATTGAAAAGAAAAAAATGCAATTGCTAAAAGAAAGTGACAACAAAAGAAAGAAGCTTTGGGTGTTGATAGCAAGAAAGGAAATCCCAAAGGTATTTTCTACAGTGTTTCAAGCATCTAGTCCACGTTCATGTATGCCCCATTTTTTGTTAATTTTCTCTTTTGTCTCTTCTGGACTGTTATGGTATTGTAGTAAAATATATTTACATTTGCTAATATTTTTTTATATGTAGTAGTCATGCTTTTAACACTTTAGGCATACAAGCAACGAAACACAAGCCGCATCAACTCACAGGCATCCATTCGTAAAGTAAGTTGTTTTGTTGAGAAACATCTTCTGAAAATGTGTTTCAAATTTTTATTAGTCAAATTTTTCTTTTTGGCCATTTTTATCCAATTTCTAACAAATATGTAACTTCTTTGTCTTATTTTGACTTTCTCATGCATACACCTTGCAAGACGAATAGTTGTTGAAGGCAGAACATTTTTTATAGATTGCTCAAAACTGTCAGAAAGAAATAAAAAAAAGTGCTTTGAAATCACAGAAAACCTCACGCGACTTTTCTTCCCGTGCCAAACGAATGGTGAGAGAGGTGAGAAACATTTTTTGGCTTTACATTGTAAATGGCTTTCACCAAGAAGAATTCAATGTTTCAGCTTTATATTGTAAATGGCTTTCACTAAGAAGAATTCAATGTTTCAGCTTTATATTGTAAATGGCTTTCACCAAGAAGAATTCAATGTTTCAGCTTTATATTGTAAATGGCTTTCACCAAGAAGAATTCAATGTTTCGGCTTTTATTGTAAATGGCTTTCACTAAGAAGAATTCAATGTTTCAGCTTTATATTGTAAATGGCTTTCACCAAGAAGAATTCAATGTTTCGGCTTTTATTGTAAATGGCTTTCACTAAGAAGAATTCAATGTTTCAGCTTTATATTAAATGGCTTTCACCAAGAAGAATTCAATGTTTCAGCTTTATATTGTAAATGGCTTTCACTAAGAAGAATTCAATGTTTCAGCTTTATATTGTAAATGGCTTTCACCAAGAAGAATTCAATGTTTCGGCTTTATATTGTAAATGGCTTCCATCAAGAAGAATTCAAGATGTCTCATTATAATGTAACAGGCTTTCTCAAGATTTAAGATGTGGTATTCTTGGGATTTTCAAATTGAAAGATGTTTGTAAAGTTGTTGTGCAAATGGCAAAGCAAAGCATTTTTAGATGAATAAGGCCAGCAATGAATTAGGAGCTTCTAAGTGTTATATCTTGCAAAAATGTATTTGAAGTAAAGTTTTCTATTCAAGTTTTAAGGTTATGGTACAAAATATTGAATTCTGTTACTGCGATAATGAATATCGGACAATAGCTGCATGGAAATTACTTCATTGATTCTAAATGACAATGAACAGTAAGTCGAAGAAACATTGTTTGTTTTCTAGATGCTTGTGTACTGGAAAAGGTTTGATAAAGTTGAAAAAGAACATCGGAAAAAAGCAGAAAAGGAAGCCCTGGAACAAAGGCGACAAGATGAAGAAATGAGAGAGGTTCGTTTCTCTTCCTTCAGCATTTTGCTTTTTTGGCAGTCATCAATGGCAGGTTAATAAATGTTGTCTGAACGTAAAATGTCTATCAGTTTTCACTGTTTTCGTTTCTTCAGCAACATATGAATTCATGGCTTCATACATTGATGCCAGCCCCCCTCCCCTCCCTAAAAGAAACACTGTGACATCAAATTTGCGTTACTGTGTCACCAAACGAAATCTCTTTCTATTTATTCGGTCCGAATGTCAAAATGCACTCTTTTGCAAATGAAAAACCATCAATAATAGTTGAACTATGTATACAGAATATTAACGGTCAGCAGGCTCATTTCATTAGATTAGTTAATAAAAAGGCTACTGCAAGTATTGGTTCGAGAGGCCATTTAGCAAAGCAGAGATGATGCTTAACCGGATGTCTTTGCATTTACAGCGTTTGTAACGTCGATTTACCCAGCAGTATTTATAGATACACATGTTCTAGTCAGCCATTTTGTTTTTTTGTGCAGATGAGGCGGCAACAAAGGAAGCTAAACTTTCTCATCACCCAAACGGAGCTCTACGCTCATTTTATGAGTAGGAAAATGCGCGGGAAAGGTACTACTCTCTATTGTTTTGTAGTAATATTGGATGAGGTACTCTTTAGTCTCTTGCTGTGATTAAAGGGAAAAAGTGTGCCATCTTGAACAGAGATTTTATACATTTATGCATTAAACCGTGAAAGTCAAATTATCACCAGTTAGACATTTAGTTTAGGATGTTCACTATACATTCAGTTGTGCAGCGTTAAATATTACCAGCATGTTTCTCTTTTATTGATCGTATTCATTAGAGCAGCTCAAATGTACCGATTTGTTAATCTAGCTGGGATGCAGGATTCAAGCCAAGATGACATTTTGAAAAAGTTAGACGAAATTCCACTGCAAATGAATGCGAAAAGTGTGCATGGGGGTGTGTTGGTCAGCACGGACGACATAGATGATTACGGTGCGTTTTCAGCGTATATATGTTCACATACACTTCACTCACAAACGTATTGCTCCACCGAAGGAGGGAAACTGGTGCATGAATTATTGAAAGCTATTGTTATACAAATTGGTTGTGTTTTTAAATGGCTAATGGGATGGGGTCAAAGCAAAACAACCACCAATCAAAACTTCACTTTTTGTTACAGCACTTGTTTAAATAATAGCATTAAAGCATCTTTGAACAGTTTCAAATATCAATATCTTGACGGGTAGCTGCGAACTTTTGAAACCGCATTCAGCCTTCTTGAATTGGTTGCACATAATTGGGCAATGTATTCTTGTCAAACCTGAAGAATTCTTTTATTTAATGATTCTTTGGTTCTCGGAGAACCATTTGGATCATTGTTTGTAATGTTTTTCATTCGAAAAGCCAAACATTTTCAACAATATTTGAATCTGAAAGACATGATAATGTTTGAAATTATTATTTTTCAAGAATTGTTTCCTTTTGCTCAGAAAACTTTTCATTTTGTATTTGGTAAGACTATTTGTGTAAGAAAGGCATTCTGTAATTGTGTATAACAGAGATTCATATTTGTCTGACGAGCTTTTAGCTGAAAAAACCTTGCACAGCATTGAGTTTCATACCCTTTAGTGTCCCTTAGTGTAAACGTCGTGAAGTGAAACAGACAAATATTCACCCCACTGACATCTTTTTTGCTACTGAAAAACTCTCATCATCGTAAATGCAAATAGGAAAGCTGAAAACACAGCCAAAATTAAGAAGGATGTAATTCAGGGTTCAATAAAATCATCCTAGGAGGAATAAATATGTTTCATTCAATATTTGCAACTGCTCGGAAATCATCCTTCAAACCAAAAAAATTATGACATGATTTTATTATCTCGCAGGCCACAAATTTTGTTCCCGGGCCGAATTCTGGCCCGCAGGCCGTAGGTTGGCCACCCCTTTTTTAAAATATGTTTTCTACGGCGCCAAAGAGATTTTCAAGAATTTCCTGCCTACATTTATTTGCTATAATGCTCGCAAATTTTACTTAAATCATGCATTCAATTATTTGGTATGGTTGCAAAGTTGACAAAATGTGGCGCCATTTTTGAAGAAAATGCTGCTATACTTTTGCAAAGAAAGTGTATAAATGATCACATATGAATGTATTCGTACATATGTATTCCTAAAAATGTAAATTTTCACATATGAGTATCTAGCAAGGGAATCTGACTACAAAGTATCTCCTACAAAGATTAAGTATTTCAATCAAACATGATTTTGTATGATGTCAAGTGATAAAGTTAGACCACTCATGTAATCAGTTGATAAGCTATAGCATTTTAATAAAAATCTTTTTTGTTAAAGATCCGGATGCGATGAAAGCGCAGGCATTGATAAATGCACAAAATGCTGTTAGGCTTCAAGAAGAACAGGTATTGTTTTTGATTATACGTACAAGTAAATATACAGTTGAACAAGACCCTGCAATGTCAGCTGTTTTTAATATAGAGCCACAGGCTTTAATAGACTATTCAGCAAAACATTCTGCCATTCAGGGTAAACAGTTTTCCCGCTCAGAACAAGGCTGTACTATTAAGTACAGATTCTGCCGTGCGACATGAAGTTCTGCAATTCAGCGCTCTTCTATTCAATTCAATGCTCTTGCATTCAACCCAAGGCTCTCTCATTCAACCCAAGGCTCTCCCATTCAACCCAAGGCTCTCCCATTCAACCAAAGGCACTTCCATTCAACCCAAGCTCTTCCATTCAGCCTAAGGCCCTTTTTTCAACCAAAGGCACTTCCATTCAACCCAAGGCTCTTCCATTCAACCTTAGCTCTTCCATTCAACCTAAGGCTCTCCCATTCAACCCAAGCACTTTCAACTTAAGGATCTCCAATTCAACCCATTCAACGTAGGCTCTTCCATTCAACCCAAGGCTTTTCCATCCAACTTAGGCTCTTCCATTCACCTTAGGCTCTTCCATTCAACTTAGGCTCTTCCATTCAACCCAAGGCTCTTCCAATCAACCCCAAGCTCTTCTATTCAACCCAAGGCTCTTCCATTCAACCCAATGCTCTTGCATTCAACCCAAGGCTCTTCCAATCAACCCCAAGCTCTTCTATTCAACCCAAGGCTCTTCCATTCAACCCAATGCTCTTGCATTCAACCCAAGCTCTTCTATTCAACCCAAGCTCTTCCATTCAGCCCAAGGCTCTTCCATTCAACCCAAGCTCTTCCATTCAACCAAAGGCTCTTCCATTCAACTCAATGCTCTTCTATTCAACTTAAGGCTCTTCCATTCAACCCAATGCTCTTCCATTCAACCCAAGGCTCTTCCATTCAGCCCAAGGCTCTTCCATTCAACTCAATGCTCTTCTATTCAACTTAAGGCTCTTCCATTCAACCCAAGGCTCTTCCATTCAGCCCAAGGCTCTTCCATTCAACTCAATGCTCTTCTATTCAACTTAAGGCTCTTCCATTCAACCCAAGGCTCTTCCATTCAACCCAATGCTCTTCCATTCAACCCAATGCTCTTCCATTCAACCCAAGCTCTTCCATTCAACCAAAGGCTCTTCCATTCAACTCAATGCTCTTCTATTCAACTTAAGGCTCTTCCATTCAACTCAATGCTCTTCCATTCAACCCAAGGCTCTTCCATTCAGCCCAAGGCTCTTCCATTCAACCCAAGGCTCTTCCATTCAACCCCAAGCTGTTACATTCAACCCCAAGCTCTTGTATTCAACTTAAGGCACTTTTATTCAACCAAAGGCTCTTTTATTCAACCTAAGGATCATCTATTCAACGTAAGTTTATTCCCATCAACGGAATGCTGTGTAGTCCAACCCAAGGGTCTTCCATTCAACCCATGGACCTTAATTTTCGTAGATGCTCCTCAAGGTTTTTTAAATTAGCCATCCAGACAAGCGCAATTGCTAGGTCCTGCTATATATCTAAGGAAAGAATGGGCCTGAAGTTTAAAAGATATTCATCAATCTCTTTTGGTTAGGTATCCATTTTTGACAAGCACAGTTTTTAGGTCCTGCCATATATCTAGCGAACGAATGGAGCTTATGTTTCATATTTATTCATCTCAATTTTATTTTATTTCCTATTCATTTTAGACAAGTACATTTGGAATCGGAACAAAGAAAACGGAACTTTCCCAAGAGAACTGTAAGTTAATTACGATGCTCTAGTTCAAGGATGCTTTTTTTAGATTTTAGTGAAAATATGTTTTACATTGATATATGTCGATCATGGGTTTTATTTTTACTTTTTAGTTGATCAAGATTTTAGTCTTGCTAACCCTACCATGGGTGCAAAGGAAGTTCCACAGCCCAAACTTTTTTCTGGAAAGCTCAAGACCTACCAACTGAAAGGAATGAATTGGTTGGCAAATTTGTACGAGCAGGTGAGAGGGATGCTTTTTTGCAATTACTTTTGTCATTCCGCAATTGAAAATGGGCAGCAAGAGGGTTCTAGAGTTATTATACAATATGTTTTGTAGGAAATTAACTTCAACGGAAAAACGGAAGAAACAACGATTCTCCTTTCTTGCACCTCAATTAGTTGTTGCTCTATTCAGCAAATTCACGAGGAAGATTTGAAATAATTTACATTCAAGATAAAAATCTGGCTATTCAAAGATACCATAACAAGGATTAGGGCAGATTGAGCTCTCGGTTCTTTGTTTCTTTTTAATAGCTTAATCATGCGAGCGGTGCTTGTTATTTGGAACTTTTCATGTTTGCCTCTTTTTCCATCCACAAACCTGTTTCACGCTTAATTTCTGATTAGCCACATTAAAGTTGCTTTCAAATTTGATTGCATTTTTACGGAGCATGATTAAATCCTTTTCAATCTGCATGCTGTTTTTAACCTTGCGAGTAGAGCCTGCCAGCTGATCTTTGTTACCAGAAGCTTATTAATAATGATTCGTTATTCAGGGAATAAATGGAATTCTTGCCGACGAAATGGGTCTTGGTAAAACAGTTCAAAGCATAGCCTTTCTTTCATACCTTGCAGAGGTAAGATCTCCTGACCGAATAATCTTCGCTCGTTAATGTAATTGTGAAGACTATTTGATTTGTGGTAGCCTTTGATTTGTGGTCACTTTAAGGGTGCCAACTAGTTTTATGTTCCTGATTTTAGGCTGATGATATCTGGGGCCCCTTTCTCGTTGTTGCACCGGCGTCGACACTTCATAACTGGCAGCAAGAAGTTTCTCGATTCGTTCCAGAATTCAAGGTAATTGCGGCAATATCTTCCAAGACCAGAAAAATCTCATTTCCTTCATTTTTTTCTAACTTTCCTTACTTTCTCTCTGCCTATAATTCTTTTTCTCCTATATTCATTTCTGCATAACAATCTTATGTTTATAATTTCAAACTTTTTTACAGGTTTTACCATACTGGGGAAATCCAAGTGACAGGAAAAGTCTGAGAAAATTTTGGAACCAGAACCAGACTTTCATTAATACAAAGGAAAATGCACCTTTTCACGTGTTGATAACAAGTTATCAGCTGGTAAGAAACAAATTCTCATTCGAAGCACCCCTCCCCCTGGACCTGACATTTTGTGTAGATCATCTAAAATTGAAAACAAAGAAAGTTTTGTGCTTGATGCCTTATCACTTTATATTTATCAAGATAAATGTCCCTAAAGAGCCTGGTTCTCATATGCCAGGTCATCGCAGGTCATCGGAGATAAGTATTATATGAGAACACTTGTGTCGGTGATGGTCACTGACAGTCTGCGATATTAGAGAACCGGGCTTAAAGCACTTATGGAGTTTCCCGTGTATAATCTCCAATTTTTAAGGATTTTTCTTGATGTGGTGGTGTATTAAGCGCAACCTCACTTCTTCAGATTAGGAATGTCACTGATACAGTGAATTGTAAATGACGAATGTTTTAACTATCAACTTTCTACACGCTGTAATGAAGTTTCAGTGAGTTCATGATGTAACCTTTTGTTAATTGTTTAAATTAATAAAGGAACAACATATATATTTATTTTCCTAAAGGCCCTTATTTTACTTGATTCAGAGTTTCGAGTCTTAACTCAATACGGAGAAAATATATCCCATCTCATTCTTCCAAAACACTTTTAACACCGACCCATAAAAGGACATTGTATATTGTCCATTCTTTGCCATTTCACTTCTTGAGATACAAGGAAGTTGTTCGGTACCTTAATGAAGAGTATTGCATTTACGATGCTTGTTTAAAGTATGGTTCAATTAATCTCTGTAGGTGGTTCAAGATGTAAGGTACTTCCAGCGTATAAGGTGGCAGTATTTAGTTCTAGATGAAGCCCAAGCGATCAAAAGCAGTTCAAGGTAAAGTTCATTTATCATTTTTCATACCGCATAGTGTACTGCTTTGTAGCCATGTAGCTGAGTCTTGTTGATAAGTTTCGTTTTTTAACTTTGTCCTCGTTTCCTGGTAACAGGAAAGCTCGCAATGCAAACGCTCTACGGTCTACGTATAACTACGCAATATTTGTTGCATGAATTATGAATTTAAGTTTTTTGATTGCCGGTGTCTGTTGACAGTTGTGCAGGTTTTTATTATGCTGCCTGTCTTGACATTAATTCATTCTCTAGCGTCTTAAATGAAAGTTGCATTGGTATATTTGGCTGACCGACTGGTTTTTTATATATGACTGAATGATTTGGCTGATTTATATGTCATGATTTATCTTATCAATCAATTTACCAAATAAATTTTAACGCTTCAAAACCTTCTTTTTGTGACTGACTTTATTACATGTGTATACGTGTTTTAGTGATGTATACAGTAACAATTAGTCTGATGTTAAAATTTAATGCCTATATTGGTAGGAGGCCACAGCTTTGTGGGTGTTCCAGGGCCGAACCCTTTGGGCCCTGCCTTAATCCGGCGGTGGACTTAACTATTGTGAAATGATCCTTGTGATTGGAATGCAAATGTATATATCTTATTAATCTTCCTTTTCAGCGTTCGATGGAAAATTCTTCTTGGATTTAACTGTAGAAATAGGCTGCTGCTAACGGGAACTCCTATTCAAAATACAATGGCTGAGGTAAGCTTAGTTTTCTAAGCACGGTAAGATTAGTAGACATAGCGATGCTTATCTATTTCAAGCTACTTTAAAAAAGGCAGAAATAAAAAATAATTTCAAATTATAAAATGTAAATTTTTGTTAATTTTTTGTTTTCAGCTTTGGGCTCTTCTGCATTTCATTATGCCTACACTGTTTGATGACCACGAGGAATTCAACGAATGGTTCTCCAAAGACATAGAAAGTCATGCTGAAAATAGATCTCACATTGATAAAAGTATGTGAAATTCACCAAATAAGAAATGAGTGCTCAACTGTAACATCTTTGCTTATTTTTGGTATAATCAAAAAGATGTTTAAAACTTCTTCATTTTCTGCACTTTTTTCGTTCTCATCTTCTTCATTGCACGTATAAATACGGAAAGAATAGGGAAAGTGGCAGACTCAGACTACCTATCGCTTACAGCGTTTTTCTACCATTTTTACCTGACTTCATTCAACGATACTTTTTCTTTTAACAATGTGCACTTTAGAGATTCCCTGTTTTTTAAAGATTGTTTATTGTTTAAGTTTAAAATGAGCGTTTTTTGAAAACTCAATTTTTGATTGGTCTTTGTTTCCTTCATTGGAAACAACTAGAACGAAAGCAGGTAGTGGAAATAGGGGCTGCTTTAGTTTTCTTAGTGCCGATAACAATTTTGATTTGTCGTATGTTTCCGTCAAATTTTTTCTTTTATTCTTGTACGTAACCCTAGAGGAAAATGGTTCAAGTGTTTAATTTACTTCTAGTATTGCTCTTAGTTTATTTACAGATTGACTTATGCGCCATTCCGTTTGCCTAGATTCCGTTTGCCTAGATTCCGTTTGCCTAGATTCCGTTTGCCTAGATTCCGTTTGCCTAGATTCCGTTTGCCTAGATTCCGTTTGCCTAGATTCCGTTTGCCATGATTGCTTCAACGAGCTACCAATCGAGATTCGAAGTTTAGACTCGATTGTTGTTTTCAAGCATAGACTTAGCGAACATTTGAAAGGATTATAGTCGTTTTTTTTCATAACTATGATTTCTTAGGATTTTTTTAGAATTTTTTTAAGAAGAAATATTAAAAGACATTTTAAGGCTTTTACTTTGTATTATGTATTTTTGATGTGTTACATTTTTCTTTCAGACAGGGCCCTTATTGATAACAATACTCGTAGTATTGACAAGGTTTTACCCTGTATAAATATTCCTCTTATTATTATTATTATTATAGATCAGTTGTCAAGGCTGCACATGATTCTGAAACCATTTATGTTGCGAAGAATAAAAAAAGATGTGGAAAATGAATTGTCAGATAAGGTGAGTCGAAATTCAGTTTACATTGGTTTGTAATCGAATTTGTCTTTACTTCTGCAATTTTCGATAATCTCGTTATCTTCTCTTCAAAATTTTCCTTTAAAGGTGAACTGACTCGCAAAACTAACTTGACCTCAAATGAAAGCATATAGAGCATAAATACCTGGTACATTATTATTTTTCTAATATTCAACACAGTTATCGAGTTATTGAGCCTCAAAGTTAGCCACCGAACATTTTCCGAGCACGGACGAGTTTGCCCGAGCCTTCCGCATAATCGTAACGTCACAAACACCATGTTCACATCACTTGAGCAACACGACAGTCTGGAAGGGCCGTACTTTCATGACTTTGCGGATGAGCATCAATACATTCATTGAGTAGGTTTTGGCTCCATTTCGACAACCTGATTGGAAAACAGATTATGACTCCTTTACAAACCTTTCATAATAAGATTTGCAAAAATATCGTATTATTCAACGCGTTTGAGGCCCTTTCTCCGTCTTGCAGGACCCAGTGTGTGGCGGGCAAACATATCATATAATGGTAGCGATAAATATATTGACAGGATTTTTTATTTTCTGGAAACCTAAGTAAAATACTTTTATTTTGTTAAATACGGCTGCTGTTAGACTAATTTATCAAGGCTGCCCCCCCCCCATAAAGTTAATCTCGGTCTTTGACCCTGGTTAACTTCAATATATGTAGTAAAGATTTCGAATGTAAGTCACTCGTTTTCGGTATATTTTTTATTCAATCACATGAAAGATTTTCAGGAGTTAAGAACCTGGTACGATCGAGTCGCTATTTGCAGGAAAACAACTTTGTAAAATTTTCAATTCCCAGGCCGCTGCACTCCTGTAACTCGGGTGAACCGACGAGTTTGCAAACCCAAAATAAAGTAACGTTCATAATATATATTGATGTAGAAATATTCTATCGAAGTAATAATATTTTGAATTTATTCGAAAAAGAAGCTAGATTCATGATAAAATGAAAAGATTCTTACATTCGTCAGCATGATCGACTTCAGAATTGAGAATTTCTTCGAGCAGCTACAAGTGCCTATTCCTTCCAAACTTTAATTCCATCCTAACATAACGCAGTACCAGCCAGCACATATCCTTCGTACATTTCATTAGCCTCCAATTTTCATGTATCTTGGATCAAAGGCTACGTAGATCTCCTCGAATAGTAACTGAACAAGATAAACTGAACTGTCCAGTCCGTGCGTGATTTCTATTCAAGGAATGAAAACATGGTGTTTGTGACGTCACACGCATTGGGTCACATGAAATGCCGACAATGGTCGAACACTTGACGATAATTTCATGACATTTAGAGCGGAATTGCGTCAAAACGAACAATAATAATTAACCGAAAACTTGAAATTAAGATTCCATGCATCGTTTGCTGCATTATATCAAAAAAAACCTTTGAAGCTGAAGTTTCAAGGTATTTCGTCACAAGTTTGTTTGATGCAAAAAGCTAGCATTTGTTGAACTCTGATGAACCAGAGAGTTTTAATGAAATGGGTCTAAAGTGTAACATTCGTTTTTCAGATTGAAATTAAAATAGAATGTGAAATGTCTCCGCGGCAAAGATTACTGTATCAAGCGGTAAAGAACAAGATTTCCATCGAAGATCTTGTGTCACAATCATCATCTTCGTCATCAACCAATCAATTTGCAAACACATTGATGAACCTGGTCATGCAGTTCAGGAAGGTGAGCCAATCAGATGAGCTTTGATAATTCTAAACAGTCTGTCTCTGCTTTAGGCAATAACAAAATGTCGAATGCCATAAGGTTTATTTCGTTGTCTCTCCTATTCGTTTTGTACGTTCCAAGCTGACAGGTTGCTGATAAAAATAGCTTTTTTCAACTTGCATTTAGTATGATTAACAATTTCCATGCTATCATTAAGTATTTAACTATTACCGTTGTGTATCGTCATGACGTCATGAAACAACTGTGTATCAGTGTATCGTTATGGATACCCGTGCCATTTTCTTATTACAGCCAATATAATAATTTCTATTCTTTCGAAGATTTAAACTTAAAGTAACTTTTATGATGAGTGTGGTAGCGCAGGCTTCAAATGTTAGTGTAAAATTATTTTTTTACTACAGGTTTGTAATCACCCAGAAATTTTTGAAAGAAGAGACATCAGGTCACCTCTTTGCTTCAAGTTTTCCCAGTTCCAACTGCCTCGGTTACTGCATCATAGCGGTAAGAGTTACATAACGTAATTTACTCTTGACCAAAGGCCTATTTTTCTTATGTCAGACAGTTGATTTCTTTTTTATTGCAGCTTTTTCTATTAGAGTTCTCATTCGAGCGTATCATTTTCTTGTAGGATTCATTGATCGCTTGGATGTTCCCAAGAGCAGGTAAACTGTATATCTTTGACTTGGCATCCCAGCCTATAACCAGAACTAAATTTGCTTCTTCAGTGCAGGAGACTTTTAAAAGGCTTAGTGATGATCATCGTAGCAAATTTGCTTTGTTTCATTATAGCGTTAATTAACGCTGGCTTTTTTAGGAAGACGTCTCAAGTGATGAGCATCGTAGCAAATTTGCTTTGTTTCATTATAGCGTTATTTAACGCTGGCTTTTTTAGGAAGACGTCTCATATCAGTTTTGTCTATGGTGCTATATGCTAATTGTTACGTACATCTTTATCAAATGTTTTTCAGGTCATATGTTTTTGATGGCAGTATTTGGAGTCCCGGATATATCTCAAGCACTTTTCAGACTAATGACAGTATGGGTCCAAATTTATTTCTCTGTCATCTTTAACTGTGGTCTGTTTTAAGTTAATACGTATTCTATACGTAAGGACCACAAACAATTATGTAATCCATTGATCGCTTGGATTGCTGTATGTAAGCCGTTGATACAGCAATATCTGAAAACAGCATTGAAGAGCGCAAACATATAATACTAAAGTACTTTTCATCGTCATAGTAAAAACAACCGATAATATCCAAAGATAAGCAAAAAATTTATTACCAGACACGGATCAAAAGTTAAATGAGAGAAAGAAGAAAGCGTTTGGTGGGTTTTTTTGTTTTTAACCAGTCACCACCGCTAATCCCCCACTTAATTAAAGAGTCCAAGAGAGATAGAGAACCAATTTGAAAACAAACAATATCAACCGAAAGAGTATTAAAAACGGAATAATATATGCTAAAAACATATGTTCTAAAATCAACGAATTTAAAACTATCAGGTGTCAAAGTATTGATGACGTCATCATATGCGTAATTCACAAGCACGGGAAATGGGTAATTTCCGAATGGGTTTTTGAGCTTCAAATCTTTCGCATCTTTGTAGATGCAGATGAGCTGCGTCGAAAGTGTTCATATTACTTAGAAGACTCTCGCTACTTTATAATGGCGTTTTAGTTTTGACGGGTAGTTTCAACCAATGAAAATTTTGTTGGACACCCTTCAAAATTTTGAAACATTAGCCCAAGGAAGAGGAAACAAGTAAAAAATATCTGGTTGCCCTCTTCGCTTGTTCATCGGCAAAAATTCCCTTTCTAATGGTTCCGCTTTTCCATGCTGTTTTCATATTTTCCTTTTTTGATCGTTTTACCTGCTTATTTTAACGTCGAAAGTCCTCTGAAAATGCAGCTATAAAACTGATATCTTTTATTAAGAAATGAATATAGCATTTTGATTTTCTTCTGATTTGCCGTTCCTGTTCTTTGCCTTTTCTATTGCTTCGGTTTGACCAGTGTGTTTTCATTCAGAAGTCGAACTGGTGACATACCTTTAAAGGAATTTCATCTGTGAATAATGACGTTATGCATTTTACCCTTGTAGATGGAATCTGTTCTAGCTGTTTTTCTGTCACGAGGTTCATTAATCTCAGTCCAGCGGAAGTTAACAAAATATTCAGAAGTTTTGCTTTTCGGTAATTGAGTATTCATTTATTGCATGTTCTTAATTTTTAATGTTTCTCCATTAACTGTGTCTCTACATTAGTTGTGATAATTATATTTTTCATCTCTTGATGAGTAGTTTCTGTTTATACATGGTTTTAATTTATTTTCTAAACACCTCGTTTAATACCACAATATTCACTTCCATTTCTGCTACTCTAGTCACCAGCAGTGAATACTTGTTTATATTGTCTTTCGAGGTCTATGGTCTTGCAGTTGTACGGTTAACAGTCCATATGATCGTGACTAAGCAAGAAACTTAATCATATTAACCACACTTTTCCAGGCTAAGCACAGTCTTCTCATCGATGGAGGATGCCATGAAAATTCGTCACTGGCGGCTTTGGTCTTTACAGCATACTGCCAAGAGGTAAATTACCGTTACGGCCATTATTCTTACTGTTACTTCCGTACAAGCTTTTCTATGCGAGCTGCATATTTCCCAACTTAAGAGATATTTTATATTATTGATGAAAATTTTGGCAACAAATGGATCGCTATATTGGATCGTCAGCTGTTACTGATTACTTCCTTTAATGGAGGCTTGTTTTGGAAATCATTTCATCAATAAATAACTATTTTCAAAGGCCTCCTGCGAAGGTCTTCATTGAGAATTAGCGCAAACTTAGCCAGAATACTTTGTTATTTCCCTTGTTTTTGCAGCTGTTCAAGAGATTTGCTTGTGTGTTCTGAACTGCCAACTAATTCCTTGTCAAGAAGCTTTCCTGATGTCATGAACAAACTGGTTTTTACTTCGAACATTTCAACGTTTGCTGCTCATTTAACACAGCGAATTTCACGCATCCCAGAGCTTGTCGAGAGAAGAAAAGCACAGTTGCTTGAGCTTAAGACAGCGAAAAGATCATCCACAAAATCTACGCCAACTTCACCAAGAAAGTCACCTAAAAAATGTTTGCACAAGTCAAATGAACATTTTATGCACGAGGACTCTCTTTCACTGCAAAGGTCATTTCTGCTTGCTTCTGTTTGATTCCAGTGCTCTTCTGGTTTATATTCATTTTTCATGTCACTTCTATCCACGTTAATACCTAAGATTAACGATTTTTTTGGATTCGATATTCTTCGAATTTTTTTGGTTAGATTTGATATTTTTTCTTGCAATTTTTCGTCGCTTTTTCTTCAATTTCTTCAACTTAACACCTCCTGATGGTACATTTTTTCAATAATTTATCTTCCTAATCTGGATTCACTTGCACCCATTTTGCTATAACAGTTTCCTGTCTTATCTTTTGTAGATTGTCTAAGGATTCCGTTGTGACAGAGGAAAGATTTACTGTACCAACTTGTTACCCATCGTTTCTTTTTGCCTTTGAGGAAACGGTTCGTACTTTACTCTCGCAGAAGTTGGATTTTATGTTATAAGCGTTTTCTGTACTTTAAAAGGTGGTTTTTCTGCCTTTTATTGGCCCGGAAGAAAATGTTGGGCTAGGAAACGGGTTTTGTTGACTTTTCATTGAAAAACGTTGGTTTGCTCTTTGTCCCAAACACCTTAAGATTTTTAAAAGCAACCAAAAAGTTTAATTCTAAGCTTCTAAACAAACAAAAATTAGCAATGCATGTATTCTTAATATCCTCGCTCCCTCTTTCCTGCTACTTCTTTCCTGCTACTTCTTTCCTGTTTCTTTAACAAAATGCCACGTAAATTTCCCAAGTGCTCTTTTTATTCTTCTCTCCAGGTAATATCGCCGACTCAGCAATACTATATCGCCGATCGAGATGCAGCATACAAGTCGTACGACATGCAGTTTGGAGGAGCAGACCTTCGTTGTGTCATTTCTTATGGTTCATTGGCAGATAATGTAAGGCACCAAAGAAACGCAGTGTTTTTTCCACCTGAATTGGCAGGCCTTGAAGCAGCTAAACCATTGGATGGGTGGTCGCATGTTAGGTGTCCAGGTGGGGGTTTCTTCTTTCGTGAGAAAAAAGTTATTTTACAATTTTAGTAGATTTTTCATTTAATTCAAGCTATTATTGACAATGATAGGACATTTTGAAATATTAAAAACTATTGGTAATGATAGGCTGTTGCTTTGGTAGTTCGAAGTTGCATTCTTCATCTGATTAAACAGATGTAAGGTACGTTTTTCTTGATGAAGGCGTTACGTTGACCTTTCTTTTTAGATCGCAATGCTTTGATAAGTGACAGTGGAAAATTGAAGGTTTTAGATGGCCTTTTGAAAAAGCTCAAGGATGAAGGACATAGGGTTCTTATATATTCCCAGATGACAAAAATGATCGATATTTTAGAGGTGAGTGACCTGTCCTAATTATGATCTTCGTTTTTATGTATGTTTTGTGTTAGTCTTTGCATTGCAGATCCTTTTGACATGCAAACAACTCAGCAATCTGTTAAGCAACCCACCAAGCAAAAAACCTAGAAAGCAGGCAAGCTAGAAAGCAATAACTCAGTTAATTGCTTTTACTGCTATAAATTTACATGCATTAGATGCAGAATTTTAAGGCACGATTTGTTTGTTATTGTCGTTCCTTTATCGCCATTGCGTATTTGTCTTTGCTTCTAAGCTGGTATCGATGGAATATTATTGAAATAAATATAGACAAAAATGCTTCAAAGACTCTCGCATTACTACTCTATCACCACTTGAAGACACCTTTTATTTTTGTTTATTTTAACTCTTTTTTGGTAGATCTTCATGAATTTCAAAAAGTATAAATACATGAGACTGGACGGCTCTTCGAAGATTTCAGATCGTCGAGATATGGTTGCGGAATTTCAAACAAAGTAAGTATGCTCACTGGGACAGAATAGAATCCAATCTCCATTACAATGATTACTATAAAAGTGATGACAAATAATTATTTGATCTATGTTTTTCCTTGAAAATAGGGATGAAGCCTTGCGAATTTGTATGCAAATTGCACCAATTGTGAAAAGTTGGCAGATTCCTTCCCATCTTTCTTTTCCAGAGCTTGTAAACATTGGAATGTTTTTCTCTCTTCTTGCTTCCTAGATACCTATAACCTATTTTATTTCGAAACCATAACAAGCTTGATCTCATCTAGCTTTCTTCGTAGCCCTTTCGTATTTTCCCTTTGGCAGGGATTCGTCTTAGCCGCTCTATAGCATGCCCGCAAAGCTTTTCAGTGTTCCAAGGAAGCTGACCCCCTGAATCCTATATTAATTTACAGATATTGTATCAGATGTTTTAAGATTAGCTATTTTCTTGAATTTACAAGATTACATAGAACTGAGAGTAATTCAGTGCATATTTAAAGACATGTGTGTTCAACATTCGTTCTAATAATTGATGTTGAATAATGAGTGTGAGGTGACAGAATATTTTTAGGATTGCTGTTGTCTTTCTGTCATTTACCATCTTCTAATTTGTAGCTAATGTTCTTTACAGGTCGGATATTTTCGTATTTTTGCTCAGCACTAGAGCTGGAGGACTTGGCATCAATTTGACTGCTGCAGATACTGTATGTTTCCTTTAAGAGTTTAACGTTAGAATATTTACCTTTTCAAATTTGTTTAGCGCTTTTAGCTAATGATTCATCAAACTCAAACGTCTATTCCCTTGAGAATGGTATTTCATTCTAACAACATATATAATCACCATTCTGCATCATCATCTGCATCATCCTAGCACCATAAAAACCGCTGCGGGTTTTGCATTTGCTCAATATCATACCTGCTCTCGCTAAAATCTTATTTTCAACTTTTAGGTCATTTTTTATGACAGTGATTGGAATCCCACGGTGGACCAGCAAGTAAGTTCTTACACATTGGTTTAAACATTTTCATTGTGACACACCACTCTTTTTGCACATCGGGTTGGTGGGAAATCTTTCAAATATTTTTAAGCAGAGGTGTATTTTTGTGGCACAAGAATAACGGTAAATGCTTCCCCATCTTGCACGTCGTTTTCAACAGCACAAAACAAAGATTAACGCCCCAAACCGAAGATTTGCATGCTGCGTTCACACGGAGCCGGCCGAATAGTTGGTCGGCCAAACAACTGGCCTGCTACTGAAGCTGGCCACAAATGAGGTCACTTGGGCGTTGCATTTACATGGGGCCGCTATTGTGACCTAATTCTTATGTCTTGCGCAATGTGTCAAAAACTTGGCGCCAAAAATCATTGAAAACGGAGGACTAACAAAACAACTTCAGGCATTCTCTGTTCTTGTGTGCTCACTTTGCAAAATTCTGTTTGAAATGGATGGCTGAAATAACTGCTAACACTGATTGGAAATTTATTCTGTTTAAAATGGATGGCTGAAATAACTGCTAACACTGATTGGAAATTTACGACTTTTGTTATGCTTTTTAGAATGGTCATGAATTTTGGAATGTATTTTCCGAAGAAAGTCCTTCATATTTTTAGCAAAGCAAACAGCAATGCACAAGCTACAAATTCAAAATCTAACCAGTGACACTAACTAATAATAATAATAATGGAAACATTTCATTTTCAATTCAACTTAAACTACAATTACAAATCTCACTATTACAAGGTAATTTGCAATTGGCTAGCCTGGTTTTACAAGAAAAAACTATAACAATCGTAATGTAAAAGGAAAAACGGAGAAAAATAAAACAAATAATAATAATAATGATATCATATTTATACAGGTTAACTTTGGACAGCAACAACATGCTGTTATCAATAAAGGACCTGTCTAAAATATACATGGATTACCGAAATGAAAATTATATACATTATGAAGTTGAAATACAAGGCAAAGTTTAAATCTTTACAAAAAGTCTTAAATCTTAAATTTCACACTTCATTTCGTCTGTTAATTTATTAAAAACCTTTGCCTTCTTGCCTGCTTCGGATTGTACTTTGGGCATAACAATATATTTGGGCATCTGCACAAATACACTGTCTGTGTTTTGCTCTAGTGAAGTAGTTTCGAAAGGCGTGTGGCGATGCACCATTCAAACTTTTGAAAACTTCCAAAGCTCACATTTTGTTTCGTATACTACTGACTTTCTCCAGCTATACACTGTCCCTGTTGCCCTTTATTACTTTCAGTGCCCGTCTCTGAATGTTCTCATAAACCGTCTTTTTTAATGGTGCCATGTGAAGGAACACATTGTTACAATAAAGAAGAATTGGTAAAATTGTAAATTGTAAATTGTTTCTGCTGTGTAAGGACTGATATTATGCCGGATACGCGACAATAACTTTACACTAGATGTGGCTTTTTTCATTGTTTTTTCGAAGTGATCAGAAAACGTCAGGTTTTTGTCCATCTTTACTCCAAGATATTCGTATTCTTTAGATTCTGTGATCTTTGTGTTATTGATCTTGATCTCCATAGGTTTGGATTTTGAAGTTCTCTGGTTTGTACTGTAAAAGACGCACTCGGTCTTGGTCTTTTTAAGATTAATAACGAGATTATTTTGATGAAACCAGTTAGGAATCTGTTTTAGATCACTGTTTAACTTTCCTTCGATAAAATCACATTTTTTACCAGCAACGTACAAAACAGAATCATCAGCATAGAGGGACATTTCACATTGGCTTACATTTTTATCGATATCGTTCACGAGTAAGGTAAAAAGCAATATGGGCCCAATTTGAATCCTTGCGGTACTCCACAGGAAATAGCTTGACTTTCTGACAAGGCTCGATCATATGATACAATTTGCGTTCTATAAAACAGATAGCATTCAAACCAGCAAAGCTCCTTGTTTTAAATATCATAATTTAGAAATTTAGATAGGAGTCTCACATGGTCCACCGTGTCAAAAGCCTTTCGCACATCAATAAATACAGTTCCAGTCATAAGGCCCCTGTCCATATTGGTTCTGATAAAATCTGAGAAAAAAAGTAACTGCATGTTGAGTAGATGATCGCTTTCGACAACCAAACTGTCTCTCCGAAAGCATATTATTGGCCTCAAGATAGTCATAGAGCTGATTGTGCACAACCCGCTCAAAGACTTTTGAAAGTTATTCATGATCGTCTTTTCACCTGACTTGTAAACTGGCGTAATTTTAGAGCATTTTTCAGCACATGGGAAGATTTCTATTTCAAGATATCGATTGATCAACTTTGAGGGAGGACCAGCTATCTCGTTTGCCCCAGCAACAAACAATGGTGTTGGTATATCATCACAACCAGCAGCCTTTTTTCTTTTAAGTTTCGTTAAAATGTCTCTGATATCTTAAATGCTTCTCATCTTGAAATTAAAGGTGACCTTTTTGGGGTTCTGTCTATGACCCAATGTTCTGTGTTTGTGATATTTCCAACTTTTATTCACTATTTCCAACTAACAACAATACATTAGATTTCAGCCCCAAAACTTTGATTTGCCATTTTATGTTTGCCTCCGTACCCCACATCGACACCCTTTTTTTGGAACTGTGCAAATATTTGGTCGGCCATAAAGGTTTGCATGAGGCCGCTCACGATTTTTGCCTACCAAATATTCAGCCGGTATAAACATATTCACACGGGTGTGAACGCAGCTCCAGTTAACATTATTTTACTTTGTGCTTTTTGTGACACATAACGTTGTTTTTTGAAACGGTTCTGATGCTATTAACATACAATCCTATTAATAAACAATTTAATTTGTTACGAAGAAGACTATGGGGGATATTTTTTAAGGGGAATGAGGAATTAATTTTGGTCGATTTTAGGCAATGGACAGGGCTCACCGACTGGGACAAACTAAACAAGTGACGGTATACCGGCTCGTGACAAGAGGCTCGATCGAAGAAAGAATTTTGCAAAGAGCCAAAGAGAAGAGTGAGGTATTGTCTAATTGTTTGCCCTTAAGTATTCGAAGTTTTGCGTGACATTTACAATTTTTCATTTTTTTGTGCTGGAATAGTTTTTTATCCGTCGAATTTGTCAATTATTGTTGTTCTTTCAATGTATTCTAAGAGAATACGTTTGGTTTTGACGATGTATAACCAGTTATATAAAAAGTATAATGACAAACATACATGTATATCTTCCGTATTTACTCAAGTTAATGCCGGGCCTTTAGTAGACGCCGGTTTCGGATTTGTTCGAGTTTCTTTTAAAGGCATTTAATCTAGTTAATACGGTAGCTTGTATTGACAATAATTGTAAATATTTCCTTGTTTAGATACAAAAGATTGTAATTTCTGGTGGCCACTTTCGTCCTGATGCCCTGAAGCCAAAAGAAGTTGTTTCGCTGCTGTTAGATGACGCAGAAATGCAAGATAAATGTAGGCAACGCGTGCAATTCATACTTGTTAAAAAGGCAAAACAACGTTTTTGCATCTAACATTCCCGTGCTTTTTCTGCAAATATCACTAAACACTATCAAATCTAGCTGAAGTCAAACATTCTTGTACAAGTAAAAACAGTGTTTTTTCCAGCAAATTTCAAATCGAAAGGCTGAAAAGTTGGTATTTGGATATACATTGAATCTGGACATAAATTGCTATACCCGTGACAATTGAATTTCCTCAAACAGCTATGAGTATGGCCTATTTTCTTGTTTTGTTAATCATATCATGAATTTTTACAGTTTTGCAACGTGAGGCAGAAAGGAAAGCAAGCGAGGAACAGACTAGAAAAGGCGGGAGGAAACGAAAACTGCCAAATGGAACAAATCAGGTAGATACCTCATTTATCTGCACTTTATGAAGGTATCGATTCCAGTGAATGCAGATCCAACCTCGTTTAAGCACAGTCTTTTCAATTTGACTAAAACTACAACTACTGTATAACCTTTTATAGTAGCATGTAGTAGATGTTGTTATCAAACCCCCTTAACAGAGTCTCAATGGAAAGATCCAAGCATGCAAAAAATATGAACTGTTGCGTCAATTGTATTTACGGTACAAATATGCTGTAACCTTTTATAGTAAATTGTATGGTGGCTAACTAAGCCTAATTTTGGACGTGGACGTGCCATTTCGGTTACAGAAATTCGACCCATAATTCTGCACATCTGAAAAAATGTGACCCATAATTCCGCAAACATGATGAGAACTATACCCAAAATTCTGCAAAGCAAATAGATATTCTTAAAGCACATAAAAATCATCAAACAAATTTTTTATGCCCAAACTTTCCCCTAAAATCTCAATATTACACATAATTCATGCTTTCATTTCTGCTGGACATTCATTTTGTTAATGCTACATTCCCCTCCAATAATTTTGCAATATTTTCCCAAAATGGTTTCCATGGTTCTGCATGTTTCTTCAAATGCTACCCGTATTTCCGCATATTTTTCGAAAACTGATACCGATAATTCCGCACTTTTAAAAAAAAGTACCCCTTATTAATGACAATTCCCTGTACCTCAAACCTATTAATGTGCCCCCACCCCGAGGTGTTCACTTGTGACAGTTTGTGAATAAGGTAGATAGGGTCCCTAAAAAAGCGATTAAGGGTGGTATATATATTAACTAGTTACTTAAGGCTTACATGTATCACTGAGTGACATCACAAAACCTCTTTTTCTTGGTACGGAAGTTAGTTTTCAAGGTTTCAGAGAACACTGACATTGACTTTTTCCTTAGAACTCGCCAAACATGACAAGCAAGAAGCAAAAAGGAAACCAGTTTTCAACACGTGCGTCGCCAATTGGAAATGATGTAATCTCTTTTGCAGCAGAGTCGATCGATGGTGATAATTCACTTGTTATTGATGACTCTGCCAGTATTTGCAGCACAGATGCAGGTATTTGTGAACATTGTTTGATAATTAGGTCATATTGTGTAACTCAATGTAGCATTAAATAGTTGGTCATGAAATAGTCAAGTCGCTTGTGCTCTGGAGATCTAAAAGTTACTGTTGTCTCCACGTCATGACACTTACAAAAGATGGCTCGTGGATCATGTTTGTTAAGTTTCTTTAATCTTTATTTTTTAATTTTTTCATATTAATTTTCAATGCTATTCATATTTCAAGTTTCATCAGTGCTACGGGGAATTTTTTGCGTGAAGATATCGTTGCCTGTTGCTGCCTGAATTTCTCGTTATTTTTGCTTTGTAGACTAATAGCAAGTGTGAGTGATTGTTTTGCTTTTTTCAGCTTCATTTTTTCTGAATGAAGACATGACTGGATCTCTAAGTGGAATAGGTGGCACGAGACCACCATCAGCCATTGGACACGGGACAGAGTCGCCAACCTCATTTTCAAGTGAAAAACCGGTTGGGAGAGGAAAAAGAGGCCGTGGATCAGCAAGGGGCGCTTCGCCAAAGCCCCGTGGCCCTAAGCCAGGCTCGACGCGTGGACGTGGCTCTAAGTCAAAAGGGAGCTCCCTGGCTGCCGCCGCCGCTGCTGCTGCCGCCGCCGCTGGTGCAGCTGCCGCTTATGCAGCACATGGTTACAGCTTCCAAGCCACTGGACAATCGTTTGGTGCCAACTCAACATCTAGTAAATAATTCGCTTTTCCAACTATGTAATGACTGCCTTCCCTTTAAGGCGGACTGTAATTTGTATTTACTGAAACATGCCGAAGCAAAACTTTTTTACAGCAAGTCTGTTGAGAGGGATATGATGTCTGAAGACGCAATAACCCTGTGCCTCAGTTATATAACCTTGTTTTCTGCAATGTATTACCATCTTCGCATAAAAATGCCTTCGATACAAGTTTGGCGTTGCACCAAGAAACCGTTGTTGTGATTGACAGCTATCGGTCACTAAATCTGCTCATAAAAGTAGACAATATGATGCTTTTTAGTGTAGAACTGAATTTTACTTTCATGTTTAAATAAATTTAATTTCATTAAGAGGATCGACGTGCAATGCGCCAATATGCAGTGCGCTTGTGTGTTATGCTCCAATCGCGATGCATGGTTTTGGCTGAGGAAGAATGGCAGGGCTTATTCCTCATTCCTTTCCCTAACTTGCTGTTTCGCCCTTATTATTTCTACTTTTAAACCGCGTCAGCTTTTGAAGATATTGCTGATTATGTTAATGGAAATCGGCTTATAAATTCATCGAGGATTGCTTTGTAATCAATTGAGAAATGATACGTTTTGTATATTTATATTTTTAGAGAATAATTCATAACTGCATTTTTCTGAGAAGCAACAACGATAAAAGTTTTTTATCTGAATCTTTTATTTTCTGCTCTGTCTGTCCCCTGTTCGCTCCATCTCATCTCGCGTATAGATATGAAACGTTTTTAAATGAAATAAAACTGAACGTATTTTTGCATTTTGAATATACTTTGGTCTATAAAATATACTTTTGTCGTTGGTTTATTAATCTTTTAGAAAAACAGTCTTGCCTCCCATCATTTGTGGTTGATAATTTATGCTTGCCAATATTTTAATTTTTCTCTTTAAGACACTATTTTCTGCAAATACGGAGTGTTTCTGCTCAAAACGATTTTCCAAGAAGAGTTTTTCAAGTTACAAAATATTACCATATCCGATACGGTGACGCACTGATTTTAGTACGGCTTGATGAAGTGCAGGTGTAGTATCCGCCTAGCAAAACACATATTGAATAGGAATTTGTAATAGTGGAATCCCGATATAACGAACTCTAAAGGCAACCAGAAAATAGTTCATTATATCGGGAGTTCGTTATATCGGGAGTTCGTACACGCCTAAATATACCTTTGGTGGGCTTGTTTAGGCTATCTCCAATTTCTGTGCACATTTTGCTCAAAAAAAAAACCAAGCTGAATTCAAGTATTTCTAATGGTTAGACATCGAAAATGAATCTTCATGTTCCTCTTATAATATGGGACCAAGAGATTGGCAAAGCTAGGTCACTTCACTTCTAGTTGGCGGCTGAATGACGTCTTAGAGCACTTCACATATTTATTTTTCTTCTTCTATTCGCATTCAATCTGGGTTTCTCAATAAAATTGTCTCATAATGTCTCATAAGTAAGAAAATGTTCGTTAGTATCAATGTACTTATTCGCAGTTATTTTTGACGTGATCAAACGTTAATCCACTGTAGTGGTCTATCAGCCAGTGCTTGAAATGTATCATCAGCATTGCTGATGACAATAACGATTTTTCCCCAAAAGAAAGTGAAATATGAACACCGAAAATAATTAAGTATAAAAATCAGATGAAGAATTTATGAAAAGTTCGTTTTATCGAGGGTAATTATGATGAAGGGACCCAAAATTTGGTTCGTAATGTAGAGAGTTCGTAATATCCGGGGTTCATTATACCGAGAGAATTTGTAAGGAATTTGTTAGGCAGAATTCAAGGGACCAGGCATTTAGTTTGTTATATCGGGAATTTCGATATACCGGGGTTCGTTATATCGGGATTTCACTGTAATTCTTTTTTATTCATATTAGCAGAACAAGAACGGGAAAGAAAATTCGACCTTCAGAGACCCCAATGTCTTTAATCTTGAACTGCAATCGGAAATGTCTTCGATCTGCATTTAGGAATGAAGCAACCTGGGAATGGGTCTAGAATATTTCAGACAATGATTGTCATAAAGCAATTGTGCTTTAAGACTTAATCCTGATGTTGTCTTCGTTAGTTGATGTAGGAACATCTTTGCATAGTTGATGGCACATAAACAGCGTCCAAGCGATTCTAAAAGCTTTTTCAAAATATGTAGTTGGGTCGAAATCTTCAGAATGAGTTTGGGTATCTTTGTCATAGGCGTTTACAGTAAATCATTTCTTGAGACAACCCCTAAAAAATTAGTTTCAAAAAAGGGTTGCAAAATTTAAATTTCTACAGTTCTGGATTCATATGTTCTGACGTCAGGGGCCGCCGAAGAAACCTCTATCTGATTATACAAAATTAAGGAAAGATATAAACAACTTTTCAAGCATAGGTCTCATGCATTAACATTCAATGCCACTGAACATTCGAGTCAATACGAATTACATAAGACATAAGACATAGGAAGACAACAATTCTCATTTTAACCAACAAGGAATTACAAAGAATTAAAATCAACGAGAAAGTAAGACTAATTAAAACTAGTAAATCAAGGAAAAAATGAAACCAATGAATGAAAGAGCAATAAACACGTAATAAAATTGGTTTATAAATAAACCAAGTGGTTGGGAAGGGATCTTATAGCAGAGCTGATATATAGGTCCCACCCGGCCAATTTAGACCTGCTAATCGAGGTTTTATTAGCTGAATTTAACCAGGCCCGTAGACACTGGGGAGGGGGGCAATGCCCCCCAATAATTTGCGATAATTATGTTTGAAGATCGCATAAGCGCAGTTTGATCTGACAGTATTACGTAGGGCAGGTATAAAAAAAGCAATATTTCTATCCATGCCCCCAAAACCAGTTAAGCTGTCCACGGGCCTGAAGGAAAGAAGGAAAGAAGATGCTGCTTCAACAGTAAAGAATTATTTCCGTGATTCAGAGTTGTATATCAAAACTCAAAAGCCAGATTGGAAAATAAGCGTTTAAAGTGTTTTTTATTTGTCACATTATTGAAGAGAGAATCGTTTAGCGAGTAATAGTACCATGCTTTAGTACCAGTGTATCGCAGAGAGCTTAGCCCTTAAGTAGTTGTGTTGAATTTTTGTGTATGTCCTCTAGCAGATCAAAGACTAGTCAGTCGATTGTGCACATTTTCAAGTATATGAAAAAGCCAGTTTAATCCGCTTGGAAGTCGATTCTTTTCAAAGTCATGCATAAAAAGTAATTGTTGAAGTCTGAGAATGTTATCTATCTTCAAGATTTTAAGCCTCTGAAATGCGGCGATGCGTGATCGTTATATTTTAAAGCAGTGATTGCTCGTCTAGCCCGTTTTTGTAGTATACGAATCCGGTCAGATAGGACATCAGTTGCACTACTCCATCGTACGCAAGTCATGCGTTAAAAATACTCTGGTACAGGTGTTTTAGAGTTGAACTCGAAAAATTAATAAGCGTCCCCCCCCTTCTATTAAGGACCTTAGAGTACATTTATATTACATGATCTATCTATCTAGTACTTAACACGATTGGATTCATGAAGAGTTTTGTTATTCAAATGGAGAATGAAATTGAAGTTTCTTTCTTCGCTCAAGTTGTTCCTAAAGAGAAGAAATTCCATGTTCGCAACATTAAAGTGGACATGAATCGTCGTTAAACGATTGCATTCTACAAGGTCCTGCTTTACAACCGAATTTAGTATCAGTTCTCATTCGTTTCAGACGTCATCCAATAGCACTTATGACAGGTATCAAGAAGATGTTTCTTCAGATTGAGCTTGTTGAGAAAGATCGAGATGTTCATCGCTATCTGTGGCGACACATGAAGATAAATGAAGAGCCTAAAGTGTACAGGATGCAGAGAGTTACGTTTGGAGTGAATTGCAGTCCGTTCTTAACTATAAGTACGGTAACAGCATGCTGAAAGATGCAAAGAACAGTTTCCAGATGCTGCAAGGGAAGTTTTACAAAATATGTATGTCGATGACTGCCTGACGGGTGCTGAGAATATTGACGCAATTAATGTACCCTGGGTACCAGACTCACTTTATATAAAATAATAGAGAGTTTCTGGTTCAGTGCGCCACATTTTCGTTCTGTTGTAAATACTTTGAGCTCATTCGAAAGAACTTAGTCAATTTATCATCATCAGGTACCATCTTCTATCAGAAAGTTGGCTACCATGACCCTCCAACTATCCCAAAACTGAGTTTTGGTTTGTCGTCAATTTAACAGACTGGAAACTAGGCCTGTGGAACCAAACTGTCAGATAACTGCCCAAGATACTCAGTGAAATGAGCAGAAGTTTTTGGAAAGCTTGGATCCAATGTGTTTTATATAGTTAAGTAAAAGGATGACAAGTGAGGCACATGCTACTAAGCCGTATCATGAGGATGACAAGTGACGAGGCGTATCATTACGTGCATGCAGATGAAAACCACCAATCTACAGTTGGGTCGATTTGTTTAACAGTTATCTCTGAAGTTCCATACGTGTTCATTCGGGAAAAAAGACGTTTTCACATGTTAATGAAACCCATGTCAATCAACGGTAGAGGATGTGTTCTCATTCAATGAATAATATTACAGAACTAAAATTGAACTCTTGGAAATTATACGACATTGCGAACTCCAAGATCTGGATTTGATCATTAAGTAATCTGCATCTAATTGACCAGATGTTTAAGGAATGATCACTCGCCTAATTAATTTAAAAAAATGCTAAACAACTGCCATTAAATGTCTTAAAACTTTAGATATCTATTACATAAAATACACCATGTATTTTAATATTGATTCATCTGTGCAACTACTGTAAATTACTTGTAGTATATTGCTTAGTATCACTTCGAACAGTGACAAAAGTTACAGTGGATATGGAAGTTCCCAAATCACATTTCTTGTCAGAACATTTTAGTTGATCCATGTTGTTGATTTGTATGTCTCGAGTCTATCTTTATGAGAACATCACAGAACTGCCCCCCCCCCCTAAAAAGACCCACTGGCTTAGAGCAGGGCTTGCTTTACCCTTCTAAAATTAAAGTTTGCCCAGGATTTCTTTTTACACAGTTTTTGGTGTCAGCAATAAATTTTGCTGGATTGTTTATTGCAAATTCTAGTACCAGCCCATTTTTGTATTAATATTTAATTCAAATAGCATTACACTATTTGAAACGAAAATCCATTCAATCTATTCCTTTTTGGCAATGCGTGATTATCGTTTGATTTCTTCCACAACCTCTACTTTATGGTCCAAATGCAATCAATTCAAATGCAATGGAAAAGCACTTCTTTGTGACCAAGGATTTGAGCCATTGGAGGGTAAACCCATTATGAGAGGGTATACCCAAATATGCCAAGTCATGACTTTAATGCTGCAGTGCTAATTATGAACCTGATACTGGTGACATGAACCTACCCTAGACTGATTTCAGAGCACTTTCTGAGAAAGGCAAAATGTGTACAAAAGCCTTTCAATATCATGTGAACTAACATGGTGAAAGCAAGTCATATCCTACAAAGCAGGCCTTTTTACTATGACTAAACTTCTTTGCCCAGTTTATTTGTTTTTAATGATTAAATTTGTAAATACGATGATTAGTGCGAATGGAGATTGTTCATTATCAGAGGAGATTATTCTGACAACTCTAATCTGGAGTTCAAGGCAATCTGTATAAGATTTGAAAGTGTCACTCCACACAATAACATATTGGAAATGTAAGCAAAGAAACATATAACCAAGCTAACACATTTAGACAGAATAAGCTTTTATCATAAGAAATAAAGCCACAAGCTCTATCAAGCTTTTTGGGTACTTCATTAAGATGAAACTTCCAATTAAGTTTTTTATCAAAAACCCTATTATTCTGAAAAGTCACTTATACACAGCTCATCCCAATATTTTTGTCATTGTAAAATTCTAATCATTTATAAATTTGGTTTAAAATATAAAATATGCCCTTCAATTGTTTAACTTGAAACTGCCAAACTCATACCTTTTATGTAAAACGTCCCATTAATTATGATTAAGATAGGAGACAGATAATATTTTGTAATATTAATAGAATTATAAATAGTTTTGATTTTTTGGGATGCAAAGAAACACAATTTTTTTAGATAGGGTAGATAAAAAGGCATTTCTCTGTTTAACTCGAAGGAACTTGATTCTGCAATTCATAAATTTGCGCTTGTTTTTTCTGAACCCTCGCGTGTATTTCTCCTCAGGGTGGCAGGATCTATCTAAACGCGATAGGAAGAGACTGGTGCCCAGGTTACGTCCCTTGTTTACGGAGTGAGGTTAAGAAGCTTCTTATCGAGCTGCAAGCTACACAGGGGTGACATGGCCGGGGTGGGGTATGGAAAAGGCAGGACAAAACCAATCTGCAAAAAACAATAGAGTCTCAAAAGATGCATACACTTTGAAAAGTTGAGCATGCGCGTAATGATGCTATTGTTCTTTAATGTAAACACCTTTCCGGATATGCAAGGTGTACCTCTCCCTGTGGTTCACAACCCAAAACACCCCAGAGGAGGTTTTCAAGTGGCTGCGAGAACTGGATGTCCATGACAGCCAATAAAGGCGATACTGCAATTACTACAGGTTCCCCACAAGGCCTAATTTCTTTGCAATGAGAGGCCCTGCCTGAAAGATCATAGACTTTCCAAAGCCAGTTGGCAATACGGTGAATATGGCGGTGTCTCTTCTCTCTACAAACAACGTTTTTAATGCCGTTAACTGTTCGGTTTTAAGTTTCACAGCGCGCGGAAAATATTCTTTGAGTACGGTTTTAACAGCTTCTTCAAACTCAATCCTTACGGTCGCCATCGTTAGTTTGTGTTGTGTTCTGTTTTGTTCAATGTTTCACACCAGAGCTACGTTTATTGTTTAGCTGTGACCTAACGTACAGAAATATGTACATTCGCTCCTGATTGGTTAATATCAGTACACCAGAACGAGAATGGGGCGCACTAGACCAGACTCTCTATTTTATATTTTATATATAGTGAGTCTGGTAGTGATAGTAATATTCATATGTAATATTAATATTATATAGTAATATTAATGTGAAACGTTGGTAAAAAAACGTTTATCTAGTCATGCCTGCTTGAATTCGTGGGGAGGGTAGTATTTCGAGGTGATCATGTCATCAATCATCAAAATCATCTGTTGAAAATTGGTGACATGGAATTTTATCTAAAACAGAGTCAGTGGTTACAGATTGGTACATTTGGAGGCTTTCAAATAATTATGTGTGAGAAGAATCAGAAGTATTGTCATGGTCTGTGTCAACAACGTTAAAAAACGGCATTGGTTTACACTGGTTTGCATTGAAATACACTTCGTACAGATCCATTCTTTGTTTTCCAAGCTTAAGCGTGCATAGGCCTCTGTTGAGATTTGTGCGCATTTTACATGGGAGGGTTGTTTACAATAACTACATTTTTCGAAGATGTAAGTGTCTTCGCAACAACAGCACCTTTCCTTAAAAGCAGTGTTGAGTTTTTTCTCGTTAGTTTCGGGCATTTGACACGTCTGTTATATCAACAAGAGTGAATTAAAATAGTACTATTTGGAGTAATTAAAAGTTGCGGTGCTCTTGAAATAGAAATTTTGGTTTATGTACTATTTGCGAAAACGTTAAAGTTGGATTAGGACTATGGATTAGAGCTGAATGTGTAGTCAGGGTTCTGATTGTTAGAATTAAATCTAACATGTTTTTGTACCAATTTTATTTAATGAGCCTCCTGATTTAACCAATGGCGTACTTGGTTCAGTTCATAAGGTCAGTTAAGTACGAATTAGGTCTAGAATATTTTCTTAAGAACATAAATAGCAACGTTAAGCCCGCCCATATTAATGAAAAATGTTGACTGCTTTTTCCAGATATGGTTACAAGCAAGGAGAGACTTATTCATTGCAGATTTATGCTGTGTGAGCAAAACTGCTTTGCCTTTTGGTCTGCAAACCCTGCCAAACTCCTTTAAAAGTGCAGGATACAGCGCAAAATTTTGTCCTCTATAGCCAATGCGCTTGCCAAAAGGTAGGTCTGAAACAATTGCATCCACCAGTCCATCTCGTAACGGTAGATGACATGCATTCCACTGTATGATATTACAAGGTAATGTCATACTGCTGAAAATAAGAAACAGCATTAATGATATACATAATAGAAATGTAAAATGAGAGTCACATATAATAGAAACATTATACTCTATTAGAAATGATACCAAAACATAAAGACAATATTTCAATCACAAGACAAAATGAAAACAAGAATAAAATGATAAAAAAAAGGAAAATGTAGTTCTTTACTAAGAAATTGATCAAAAATTGACATGGATTAGTTTGACAAAGAATAAATAGTTTTTTTCATGATAGACAGATCCCTAAAGATCAAATAACTCTCATTTGGTGCTTAAAATCGGTCCAAAAGAAGTTTTGCTGGTGGATAGGGTCAATATTGTGCGGGCAGCGTTAGTGGTAGAAATACGCAGCATTGCTGGGGGCTGCAGAGATTGTCAGGCAAGTCTTAGAGACCTAGGGTTGCTGTGTGCAACTTGCTCTCTAGGACTTATACCGGAACCATCTACACGGAGATAACAATCACGGCATAATAATAATAATAATAATATGTCATGGGTATGAATCTAAACTGCATATGGTTGTGGAGTTTCGACTTGGGAGAAAAAGGTTACCTTTTGCCACAACTACCTCATGGCCACCCTTGAGCAAGGTTAGTACTCGTCAACTCTTCCCGAAACCACGAAATACCGGGTTGGCACCCGGTGGGGGCTAGAGGAAATAACTATAAGAGTAAGAAATGAACATAAGGCTCTAGGAGTAAGAACCTGGAGACTGACCATAATGCTACAGAGATATCAAACAGAAACATAGCACTTGAGATCAAGCACAATTTTTTTTTGTTCACACAGGGCCCTTATTGATAACAATACTCGTAGTATTGACAAGGTTTTACCCTGTATAAATATTCCTCTTATTATTATTATTATTATTATTATTATTATTACAAGGGAAAACAAAGAACCCAAGACAATACCCCAGCTGAAGAAGATCCCTTTGTACTCTCTTTAGCCCTACATGGAGAGATTAAGCGACAAACAGCAGATGTAGTTGGAGACGATTCTTGGAAATGGCTTAGGAGTGGTTTTTTGAAAAAGGAGCCAGAAGGTAGGATCTTAGCTGCTCAAGAACAGGCTTCAAGAACAAACTCGATCAAGCACGGCATAGATAAGACTTCTCCATCTAGATTTTGTGAAGACTCTACTGAAACCGTAAGGCATACTATCAGTGGATGCACGAAGCTTACCCAGAGAGAGTATAGGAAACGCCATGACAAGGTGGTCCTGCGGGTACACTGGGAGATTTGCAGAAAGTACGGCACAGAAAGAACGGGAGCATCGAAAGTGATACGTGGCAGTGATACTTGGAACAATCTCAAAGAACGCAAAGATCTGATATAGGAAGTTAGATATTCCTGACATCGTTGGAGGTGCACAGTTGTCGGCCATTCTTGGAACAGCTCACGTATTGCGGAAAGTGTTGTGTTTCTAAGCTGCGGAATTAACTGAGACACGACAAAGATAACCCAGAAGAACATCAATGGACTGGAGAGAATCACATAATAAAACGTAAAAAGGTACACCACCACCATTCCCCTACTCAATCGAAATTTTCTACCACTGGAATACCGGGCTCCGCCACTGGAAAACGGCATGAAATGTTCAATTGTAAACGCGTGAAAATAGGACATCCGGATTCAAAGAATGACAAAAGAACAATTTGTTTCTTTTTCAATCTGTAATGAAATTGTTCTGCTTCAAGAGTGCAACGTTTAATGCCGTTTTCGAATCGTGCCGTTTTCGAATGTTTTATTTGATGCCTATTTAAAAAAAGTTTTAGAGTAAACGGAGGGTAAAACGGCATGATTTTACACAGAAAAGCTTACTTCTATTCTTAATATTGATCGCTACTGCAAAATTTCACTTGGCATTGATTTATAATTTTAGATTTTCATTGCAAATAATAATTGTTCTAATTCACAACCTGAAATTTCCAGATACAGTTACTTATAGGAACAGTTACTAACCCATTGGTTTCTGCTTTGACTTTGCAAAAGTAATCAATATTGTTTGCAGCATTGTGGCATCCATCAGGGTGAATCTCTCCGCCAAGATGGAACGAGAAAGGGAAACTGTTCACTCCTTCAAGGCAAATTGAAGCTGTACCACACATAGGATCACATATGATATCACCTGCAATCACATTATGGCAATGTTAGTTCAACAAAGAAATATAAGTTAAGGGAATATACAGTTGCGCTGTCCCCTTTCGTCATGCAATCGCAAATTTGCCTAGGTTATAACCGTCTTACAGAATTATCTTTAAAAAGATTATCTCTAAGCCATTTCATTCTAAATTTAAACTGGAAAAAAAAAATCTTAATTTGTGTTGGCTGCAATTTGTTCAATTTATCTGACATCAAAATACATCAATGCATGTATATTCCAGAAACAATTTTTATAAAAATTCGTATTTGGAAACATTCATAAACTAGCATCATAAACAACTTTCACTTCAAGTGAGGAGAGTCGCCATCTCTCTGTAATTCCAGGCATGGGAATCACGAGGAGAGGTCACATCGAGAGGAGAGACAAGGACACTGCTTGATCAGCATAGCTTTTTACAACTACCTTCAAAAGCCAGGTAGCAACAAATGCAAATATAAACACAAAACAAGTACAAAAACAAATACAAATATAAACATAAATAGAACAAAAATAACTACAAACACAAATAACAATACAAACACAAATTCGAGTATGAGAAATAATAAGATACAAATATCAATAATACAAAAAAAACATAAATACAAACACAAATACTATTACAAACACAAATAAAAACAAATACAAACACAAATACTATTCAAACACAAATAAAACAAATACAAATACAAGTAAAAACACAAATAAAACAACAAAAACAAACACAAATGCAAACACAACTACAAGTAAAAACATAAATGCAAACACAAACACAAATACAGATAAAACAAACACAATTAAAAGTAAAAACATAAATACAAACACAATTACTAACACAATTACAAGTACCAACCCAAATACAACAACAAATACAAACAACAAATACAAACACAAATAAAACAAACACAATTAAAAGTAAAAACATAAATACAAACACAATTAGAAACACAATTACAAACAAAAACACAAATACAAACACAAATAAAGACATAATTACAAGTAGAAACATAAATAAAAACTTAAATACAAACACAATTACTAACACAATTACAAGTACCAACCCAAATACAACAACAAATACAAACAATAAATACAAACACAAATAAAACATTTATACAAACATTACAAGTAAATTAGAAGCAAAAACATAAATACAAACACAAATAAAAGTACAAATATAAACACAAACACAAATACAAACACAATTACAAGTAAAAACACAAATACTATTACAAACACAAAAAAACCAATACAAACACAAGTACAAACACAAAAAAACAACAAATACAAACACAAATACAAACACAATTACAAGTAAAAACATAAACACAAACAAAAATACAAACACAATTACATTTAACCTTCTATCTCATCACTGTGTTGGTTTGTACATGTTTGTGCATTACATCTGTATGTATTTATAATTTAGTAATTTCAATATGCTGGGAAATTGTTTTGGCCTTCCCCCAATGTCAAAGTCCTAACTACC